TCAAATAATCTCTCTCTCTTCCTCCCATCAAATTATGCAAATGCTTTAGGACTATTTAAAATCAGAACTGAATTGTCTGGTTGATTACAGTACCCACAGAGTTCAGAGAAGGGGAGATTTGGGAGGACAGAAGTGGTCGGAGCTGGCCTGCTCTGTGCATTATGGTACCACCTACCTGCCCCCATTGAATTGGTGGGATGAGGCCAAGTCATGGAGTCCATCCCCAGGGCAGAAGAGTTTAAATGCAAAGCAGTAGACTCTCAGAGTTGGAAGGGACCTTATAGACAACTCTACCCTACAGCTTCTTAATATCTACTGTAATCCTATCAAGTGAACATGCAGCATTGACCTGTAGGAGAAAAGGGTTAGAGTGGGCAGAGACCATCTAGTCCAGCCCCCTGAAATTACAGATGAGGAAACTGAGGCCCAAAGGTGAAGTGACTTAGTATCATAGGATCCTATTGTTGTTTGTCCTTCGTGAGGACTGAAAGAGGCCTCGGGGCACCTCCTCCAATCCCTCACTTCAACGTAGGAGGAAGCTGAGTCCTAGGGAAAGGTCGGTGACTTGCCCAAGTTTGTATAAGGAGTAATCATGAGAAGAGGGATTTGAACCTAGCTCCTCTGATTCCAGAATCATGGCTCCTTCCTCTTTAGCACAATGAAAAGAGCCAATATTTTGGCTCCCTTAACCAACATTCAGTACAGTGAAGGGTTATTCAAGTTTTGCAGGCAAATGAGGGTGATCGGAAGCAGGGCATGCCACCTAAAGGTCGCATCAGGGAGCATCATGGCAGGGAGGAGAGAAGGGATGGGATTCCATGGGGAGGCAGTAGCTGTGGTCCAGGTATCAGGCGATGATGGAGGCCTAAACTGGGGTGGATGTAGTGAGAATGAAGACCACAAAAATGGATAAGAAACAGTCAGAAGGAAGATTCTTAGGATTGGGCGACTGGGGAAGCTGGGTGGCTCAGTGGGTAGAGAATAGAGCACTGGGCCTGGAGTCTAGAAGAGCTGGATTCAAATCTGGCTCAGATCTTACTGTGTCACCCTGGGAAAATCATGTTACTGCTGTTTGCCTCAGTTTCCTCATCTGTAAAATGGGAATAATAATAGTACCTATCTCCCAGGGTTGTTGTGAGGTTCAAATGAGTAAATAATTATTAACGCATTTAACACAGTGCCTGTCACATAGTAAGTGCTATATAAATGTTCGTTATTATTTCAGTACATAGGGAATGATAGCAGGGATGAGCTAAGAATTATTCATGAAATTTGCCGGCATAAATCCTCTGCCCTTCATTGGTGCCTGTCCATATCGGGGGGCGGGGGCAGACATCGGGCAGTGGCTCCTTAATGGGCCTGTGGGAGTCACCTCCCTTCTCCAGTGGTACATAGCCATTCACTTATAGATTTCAGGATCAATAAGGTAGCGATTCACCAGGGCAACGTGAAATCACTTTGAGTTCTCATTGGACATCACTCCTTCCACCTTGCTGGAGGAGGCCCCTCTACTTTATTCCAGGAGTTCTTCACATTTCTGATGTGCCAGACCCCTTTGGCAACCTGTGAAGCCTAGGGAGCCCTTCCCAACATAATGTTTTAGATGCATAAACTAAGACACAGGATTAACAAAGAAACCACTTATATTAGAATAGTTGTCAAAAATTTTTTTTAAAAATCAAGTTCACAGACCCCAGGTTAAGCATCCTTGCATTATATTTGAAGGAGACCCAGGTTTTGCAAACACTGCTGTAGGCTAGCCCCTGAATTCTGTGTCCAGTGGACTTAGGAGATATTGTTAAGGACCCTGGTCCTTGTGTGTGAGAATCCTTTCCTTCTGGAAGGCAAAACTAAAGATTCAAAGGCAAAATTGCCCAGAAGCTAGCAACTCACCAATCAATCCACCTTCATTGATTAGGTGCCTACTGTGTGCCAGGCACTGGGTTAGGAGCTGGGGACCCAACAGCAGAAATAAAGCCATCCCTGCTTACATTCTGCTGCGGAGTTCACATGTGCCAATCAATTCACCAACAAGGATTTCTTAAATTCTCACCATGAGCAAGACAGTGGTTACTGGGTACTGGGAATGGAAAAACAAAACCAAAGCCACGTCTTCCCTCAAAGAGCTTGTGTCCTGTCATAAAAGATAGTATGTGTCCATCAACAAGCGTCGCTCAGGTAACTGCCAGCATCAAGTCATACACAGACAGAAGTGAGGCAATCCCCACCTTCGAGGAGCTGACACCAGACGCGTGTGTTTCAGTACACGTGTGTGTGTGTGTGTGCACGCGCAGAAGGAACAGAGACAACGGGAGAAGGAGGGCAGGAGCATTGGCATGGAGCAAGTTAGACAGTGCGGAATTGGAGTCAGAAGGGAGGGGAAATCCAGCATTTCTTGGCCAAGACTCTGGAAAATAATCATTCCATTTCATCAGGAAATACTCTTGACATATATACTTTTTCAGAATTCCATTTTATGAGGCAGCTTAGATATAAATACCATAAAGTACATAAACAGCTTTGAAATTAGACTCTCTGGAAAGAAAGAAGAAAACCATCTGTTTAGGGTAAAATATCTCAAATATTTTTCTTCATTAAAAGCCAAAATTTTGCCCTAGAAAGCTCTCCTCCTTGTCACTCTCACTTCTCTTGGCCTCAGTTTCCACATCTGTAAAATGAAGAGTTCAGACTAGATGGTCTCAGAGGCCTCCTTCTAGCAACAAGTCATCCTATGACTCTGGGATTCCACCTGCTTCCTCCTAGTAAACCTGTTGCTCCCTGGTGAGCTAGAAGCAATTACATGGAGATCATTCATTGGTCAAAATGAATCTCTGGTCGAGTTTCTTACACCTCTGTAATTCCGCTAAGGTAGCAACTACCAGAGAAAAATGACAACAGTAATGATTTGTTATCGTTCAGTCATGTCCAACTCTTCATGACCGCCTTTGGACTTTTCTTGGCAGAGATACTAAAGTGGTTTGTCATTTCCTTCTCAAGTTTATTTTATAGATGAAGAAACTGAGACAAACAGATCTCAGCGACTTGTCCAGGGTCACCCAGCTAGTGAATATCTGAGGTTGGACTTGAACTTAGGAAGATGAGTCTTCTTGACTCCAAGCCCTGATCTCCCTCCACTGAACCAGCAGTTATATAGATCTTTAAGGTTTGCAAAGCACTTTACAAATATCATCCCATTTTATCCTCACAAACTCTGGGGAGTGGGTGCTATTATTATATCATTAACCCCATTTTACAGATGAGGAAACTGAGGTAGACAGGTCAAGTGACCAAGATCACAACTAGTGTACTTGTATGTTCAGGTTGAAGCCCAAAAGCTGCACTAAGGCTTTTAGGACACCCTGTATGCATATGTGTGTGTATGCATACATACTTAACATGACAACCATAAAATGGCATTCACGAATGTAGATTGCTTTATTTATATTCTCATACATCTTCAAGCCTTTACTTTTTTTTTTAATTCCTGAATTCCACTCCTGATGGTTCTTGTATCCACCATTAAGTGGAAGCGAACAAACATTGCCTTTACCTATTACCTCAGAGGGAGCTGTGAGCTCAGTGGGTGACTTGGGCCAGGAGAGTTAACTGGAGTGATGACCCTTTGTTCAGAGGGGCTTAGTGTCCAGAACAGGGCAGAGGCTGGTCCTGCCAGCCTGGGTCCTGGGAAGGATTGTCTTGTGGGGAAGGATGGGGACAGCCCAGAAGCACTCCCTAAGGAGGGCCACCGAGATGGAGAGTGGCTGGACACCATCCCCTGCAATGATCAGTGGAAGGAACCGAGAGTGTTGAGCCTGAAGAAACATCTAAGAGAGATGCAGTAGGTGTCTCTAAATATGCAAAAGTCTTCCATATGGATGAAGGACTAATGTTGTGCCACTCAGCCCCAAAGAGGCAAAGAAGGAACAGTGAGTGGGAGTTGCCAAAGGGCAGATACCAGTTCGATGTGAGGAAAAGCTCAGTAACAAAGGAGCATGGGTTGCCCTGCAAAGATGTGGGTTACCCCAAGCAGCAGAGCCTGCCTGACCGCCAGGAGCTGCTACAGAGGGCATTGCTGTGAGGGTGCTGTGGAACCAGACCCTGCAGGCCTCTTCCAGCCCAGAAATTCTGTGACTTATCAGGGCACTGCCATCATTCTGAATCATCAATAACCCAGGTCTCTTTCATTTTGTCTCTGCTCTTTATTTTGTAATGGTTTGATCCCTACTGCATAGCCCCACTATATGCCTATGAAGGATTAATATTATAAACTCTATTTTATGTTATGCTGTGGACAGGATTAATAAAGGCACTTGAAAATGGAAATGTACATATTGGGAGCATCTCTCTGGATCTGTGTTCCTCTCACCTGGCTTTGATCAAGCTTAATGACGTTTTTTAAATGGTCTGTTTCATTCATAGGTGTTAGTTTCTTAGAGTTCTAGAAGCTTCCATTTCTTCATCCTTGTGATAAAGATCGCAAGCATGGGATTTTTGTTGCATGTGCCAAAGAGCAACGGGTAACACTGGGGCAGAAGCTGACTTCTCATCACTGAAAAGCCTTTCACAGCTGCCTGAACCATTGGCACCTGGACAGTTAGGGCCAGTCACACTCAGCCCTTGTTAATCGGATGGCTAGCTTGGCTTCCAATACAGTGCTTGGTCTACAAGACCTTTCAAACTCGTAGTGATCAAGGTTTAAACTAGCCTTTCTTGTACAACTCAGAAAAACCCTAGGAGGTCAGTAAGGTCTAAGTACCATTTGGACTATATAGATACTAAAGTGATTACACTAAAATGTATTTTTAAATAATATCGTTTAATTTAAAATAATATTAGTTCAAAATTTTACCATATGTAATGGGCATTTCTATGTCATTTGAATGTATATATTGCACTAATATTCATTAAAATAATATACAGTTTTCCAAAGAAACTATTTCCATCTTTTGGAAAGAGCCCAATATAATATGGTGCTGAGAAAAAGAAAAAAATAAAGTTAGAAAAAGGAGAGTGACTTTTATTTCTGTTAAATACTGGACATGACAAAAGCTGGAAAATCAAAAATCACTGGAAGAGGAAAGAAAATCTCTCCATCAGAATGAGATATGAACTTGGTAATGTTCTCCTCAATTTGGTAGATAAAAAGTGTTAGCCAGATTAGAGATTCAACCCAGGACACTGTAGTCTCATGGTGAAACCATAGGAGTATCTGAACCATGGCAGCCTTGTGGTCCAGCTAGAATTCATTCATTCATTCATTCATTCATTTGTTTGTTCATTCATTCCCTGAGTAAGCATTTATTAAAAGCCCACTAGATTCAGGCATGATGTGCTTCATCTCACAAGGGCACAAGTGATACCAAGTCCATCAACCAATAGAAAGGACCGTCCCTCCCCATTTGGAGCAGATGTTGGAGCAAGCCTAATGCTGTTATTTTGTTTGGTGTCTAGTAAGACCCTACATAGGAGGGTTACTCCTTGATCCAGGCGTCAATCTCACTGAAGCAGAGAACGGAGGAAGAAGGCAGAGCTAATCCTCCCCCTGGGTACCTCACAAAGCACTTTGCTTGTATCCGCCATGGTCCTCCTCAGTGACATAAGCCTAGGAAAATGGATAAACATAAATTTCCACATCCAAATCAATGTTTTCAAAATGAAGCAAGTTCAACTACTGAATCACCCTCTCAAAGAGCAGAGGGTTTATTATCATTCATAGTCACCCATAAATGTTAAACTGTCATCCACTTAAATTAGTAAAGTCATCAACTTTCAGAAAGGGCTTGCCTTTGAACTATATTTCTTAACTGCTTAAAAGAAAGTGCACAGACAAATCCATCTACCATACATTTTCCAATTCTCTCTTATCTTTTCCAGCCAGATTTTCCAGAAATACTGATGTTAATTATAGAACCACATATGTTGATGTGAAAAAATATACCTACAATTTTACATCTATCAGTTAGTTTACTGGGGAAAATGCCAAAAGGAAGCTACCTTCTGGTCAATAAATTACTTACAGATTGAGGTGATTTTTTAATGCTGAAAAAATATATTTTCTTCTCATTCATGTAACCTCCCCCAAAAGATCATTTACTTTCCTGTGTTAAGGCACGTACATGGGCGACACATGAAGGACAAAATGTAACCCTACTGGTGGCAAGGTCTTCTCCTCAACATTTTATGCACAATGAGCAAGTTATTTAGAGTTAGATGATACCATTAGAGGAAAAGCTACCTCCAGTCTTCTAAAAGCAACACCCTCCCCTGGAAAGTTAATTCACTTTTTAATTTATTGTTGCATGAATCCTAACCCAAACCCTAAGGTATGTAGCCTATACTTGGTAAACTACAGATAAAACTCTGCAGTTAGACTGAAGTTAGTTTAGATCTCAAGCTATAAGGGAGCTCAGAGACCATTAAGCCCACTGAATCACAATGACTCACTTATTTGACTATTCCCATGAATTTTTAAATGGAAATGCAGGCTAAAGTTCAGAGTACTGAAGTAGATCAAATAAAACTTTTTGTATTTGATATTGTTCATTGAAAGAGGTTTCTAATTCTGTTCCTTTATTGCCTAGGAAGCTGACTCTGATGAGAAAACCAAGAGTATTTATTGACCATGACATTGGACTTGGATGGTAGCTTTGAGTAGAGTGGGAGTACCCAGGATTCTTTGCCAAACTCAGGGAAAGGAGAGGGAGAGAACCAGACAGACTGACAGAGACAGAGACAGATTGACAGAGAGAGGGGAGAGGGGAACCATTGCTTCTCCTTGTGGACAGGAAATCACCACAATGGAAGGATTCTTGACTTCGTCTCCTGAAGTCACAGTGAGATAGTGGATAGTACAAAGCCTGTAATTCAAAGTGGTTGTCTCTCAAACTGGAAATTAATAAGGCATTGCCATGTCTGAATCTGCCCCACGCCAAGGTTTCCCAGGAGTCTCAGCTAGGACTGTCTGTATGAGGCTTTAAAACGGAAGTTGCCCATTTAATCAGAGCGTCTTTTATTTTGTTACCTCAAATGCAGTTCAAAAGTGTGCTGATTGTGTCTATTACACTGGCCCCATCTTTTGGGGCCAGAGTTAATAGATTTGGGTCCACAGGCCATAGTTTTGAAACTTCAAGGGACCTTGGAGACCATGTAGTTTAGCCCCCCCCCCCATTTTACAGTTGGAGAAACTGAAGCTCAGAGAAGTTAAATTATTTGCCCAGGGTCAGGCACCTAAGTAAGTGTCAGGGGCGGAATCTGAACCCAGGTCCTGCGGACAACAAGCTGAGATTATGCACTCTCTGCCACATTGAGGTTCATCCTGTGTTGTCTTGGCAAGAAGATGCTTACACTTTATCTCCTTTTTAAGATGCTGTTACAACCTCCTTCAATTACAGTCCCTGAGTTTGCTCCGATGCCTACCAGCCCTTCACATTTCTGTCAAAGCTGAATTTGTCATCTTCCTATGAAAACCTGCCTCTGCCTTCGCTGTGATAACACCCCCATCATCCCCGTCAGCCAGTCCTTGGAAGTATCCTTGCCTCCTCCTCTCCGTCTCCCATTGCATGCCCTCATGCTAAGTCCCGTCCATTCCTCCTCTCCCACCCATTCCTTCCTCTCTGCTCTTGCTTAGCCCCTTACCTGGCTTTGCTCTTTTCTCTTTGGTCCTGGCACTGTGGTCTCCTTAGTATAGGTCCTACTTCGTGGGGACCAATCCGGGTCCACCCCTGCCCAGCTCTTTAGAGCCTTAGAAAACTGCCTGGACTCAGAGAGATTAATTAACTGGTCCTCGGGTTCTCTGTCTCCAAGATCACGTGTCTGTTCGCTTGGTTTACTGTCTTCCTCCTCATCCACATTGCTGTGACAGCCTCCTCACTGTTGTTGCTGCCTCCAGTGGCTGGCTCTCCCCTTTATCCTTAAGCACACCTTCCTTTCTAACATTTGCAAAGCATTTAGGTAGCAAATGTTGACTCCTTTTTTTTTTTGGGTTAGGCAATGGGGTTAAGTGACTTGCCCAGGGTCACACAGCTAGTAAGTGTTATGTGTGTCTGAGGCCGGATTTGAACTCAGGTCCTCCTGAATCCAGGGCCAGTGCTCTATCCACTGTGCCACTTAGCTGCCCCCTTGACTCCTCTTTCTACATGAAAGGGAAAAGGGAGCCAGGATGGAAACTTCAGGGACCAGGACAGGGAAGACATGAGTATATTTGTAGGCAGAAGAGGAGGGGATAGAAGATTCATGAGATCTGTGCTCTGGAGAGAGCTCGGACATTACTAAGATAGGAGACTGTGAATACGGGACACTAGATACCATGTCTGACTTGGTTCACGTACTGGATAGGCCTGATAAACTTTTTTTCTATTTTTTTATTCTTTGTTATAAGTCCATGGCTCTCTGAAAGGTATGTAGAGGGGGGAGGAGTATTAAACTAGATGATATAAAAATAAAATATATCAAGAGCATTTTCAGAGGAAAAGAAAAGAGCACAGGATTTAACATCAAAAGAGTTGGATTCCAATCCCTCTTCTTCTAGGTTTGTTACCTCAGAGAAGAGGTTTGAACTCTCAGTGCCAGTTTCCCTTCTCTGTAAAATGGAGATATTAATGTTGATGATGCCTATTCATAAGACTGTTTGGAGGAAAGTGTCCATTAACCATGGCATGTGGTATCAATGTGAGCTATGAAGGGGGTCAGGAGGAAGTTGAGGGCTTGTCCTTAAAATGCTAAATATATGTCAGCCATCTTCCCATTAGACCTCTGGGATTTTTTAAGTCCAAAGGAGGCCAAGAAACAGGTAGCTGCAACCCTCAGTGAATTCACTTTTTCTGCCAAGTTATTTTTGCAAAGTGCTGTGTGTAGTTGATTTCTGCAGCTATCCATGCTTACATATTTCTCCTAAGTGGTGAGATAATTATTTCTATTTTGTTCTCAGAGAGGAAGAAAGGGGAAAAGAGGCAAAAAGGAGAAAGACCTGACCCCAGACAGGTAAAGAATGTACTCGTTCTCTGACATATATGCCCCTGAGCAGCAGCAATGCTATGGTGGCCAGAGTCCCTATTAAGAGTCAGATCTCTGACCTTGACCCAGACCATGAACCCCTCTGAGGTCATTTTCCTAATGGATTATAGGATCTCTTTTATTGAAAGCTGGAAAGTTTTCAGTTCTGTCTAATACTAACCCTTCATTTTACAGGTGAGGGAACTGAGGTCCATAACAGGAAACTGGCTTGCCCAAGATCGTAAGGGGTCAGTAGCAGAGCCAGAATTTAACCCAGCTCCTTTGCCTCCAAATTCAGTCATCTTCCCACTATTACCACGTTGTGTCCAAGCAAGGAAGTAGAGTGGTATGATGGAAGGAGCTCTGGTTTGGGGTCAGAGAACCTGGGTTCAGATCCCAATTCTGCCTTTAGCCTGTGTGTGACCTCAGGGATAGCAGTCTACGGTCCTCCTTTTCCTCATGCTTTAACAATGGCAACAATTATTATGATGATTATTATTAATATTACAAAAATTATATGGAGAAGAGGTAGAAACTTTCACTCATCACTGCAGGCTGTCAGAATTTAGCATCCACCACCAAATACCTGGCAGATACATCCTGGCTAGAGTTATCCATCACAGTTTCAGGATATTTCACGATGACTGATGACGAGCCCCCTCCCACTAATACAGACCTCAAAATGGCCTGGAGAGCTCAGCCGAAAAACTGTCCTGGGGCCAGAGCATTCTCAAGAATTGCTCTCACAGTCACAGAGCTGTGACATTGATGCAGAAAAGGACAAGGTTTGTCATTGATGCTAATGCACAAAATCCTCATAATCTTGAAGGAATGTGGAAGGAGAAGCTTTCAAAGTCCAGCAACCTGGCCAAGAAGCTCAAAGGCCTATTGGGCCAGGAGGAGCCCACAGGGGAGGGTCCTCAATTCTAATGCTTTCATTCGGCTCTCAACTCTATCCTCAGTACATAGCCCAGTGCCTAGCACATAGTAGGTGCTTAAAAGTCAGCCAATAAGCATCTATCAAGCACCTACTATGTTCCGGGCACTGGGTTAAGTGCTGGGGATATAAAGAAAGAAAAAGGACAGTCCCTGATCTCAGGAACCTCCCAGGCTAGTAAGGGTGATGACGGGCAAACATCTCTGTGCAAAAAAGCTACAGACAGGACCAACTGGAATCATCCCAGTGGGGTGGCCTTGGCGTTAAGGGATATTGAGAAAGAATCCCTAATTAATGCTTGTTAACCTGACTTATAAGTCCCTGGTTCTTTACAACTGATCTCCCCCATTAGACTGTGAGCTTCTTGAATCTAGGACTGTCTTTTGCCTTTTTCTGTCCCCAGCACTTAGACCAGTGCCCAGCACTAAAAGCCTTTGTTTCATCCCCTCTGTGATGGTCTGCAAAAGATTTAAAAATAAAAGACTATCAGCTGGAGAGAGAATTGGCTCAGGACCCTTTCTATCTGAACTCTACCAAAAATATTAAAAGAATGAGATGAATGATGTTGAAAAAGTCAAGAAGAATGAACTAATAGTAATGCTAATCATTCCATTTATATATACAGACCTTTGCAAAGTACTTTACCAACACTGCCATATATGAGCCTGTGGCAG